GGGGGGGGGGGGAAGAAGATGGAGATCAAAGAGTGAGGAGAGAAATGGGGGAGAAAAGACGGGAAGGGGGAGGTGGCGGGGGCCTAAGTGGGGGAGGGAGGAGAGAGAAGGGGCATGAGAGAGGGGCTAGAAAAAGAAAATGCGTGAGAGAAAGTTGGCCAGAAATGACTAGTCTTGGGCATGAAAATAAAATTTTTGAAGAGAATTTTGTCCTTCAGATGAAATTAAATGATGTGAACCGTCTTTAGCTCTTAATAGGTTGGGGAATTCAAAAACCGTTCTACTTAAATTATATAGATTGCAATATTGTCTATTATTTTTGTATTTTTTAATATCGGGTAGCTCCTTTTCATTTTTCACTATATTTAATATGCTAAATGATGTATTCTAGGCATCTAATGCATGAATTTTGTTGTCTACATATTTAATAGTTTTTGGAATTCTTTGTATTTTTTATGTAGTATTTCGTGCTTATTGGCTGATACCATTTTGCTACTCTGCAACTGAAGTGTTTCATTACTTTTCTCGATGATTGATCCTGTGACCTTGAATCATGAGGTTGTGCTTGTTTTGCAACTTAATTTGTACATATTATTTTAAGGACAAATATGAAGAAAAAGCTCCCCCCTTTCCCACCTCAATTCTACCCACTAGTGGATTGACCGAAATGGTGGCTGGATGGAAAGTACCTACCTCCTCTCTTTCTTTTCCTCCTATTTTGCTATGATGTAACAACGATAACTCTACTTATTCTGCTAGTTTGCCATCCTCTCCTTTCCTTCCTCTGTTCCATCCTTTCAAATGGACCAAAGTCTTTAGCCACTTATTTATTACTTATTGCTTATTAATTTCTTCAATCCATGATTAGACCACTTTCCATTTGCCATCATAAACTATAACCATTTGAGCTTGAGACATTGGTGTTGTTCATGAACAACTAGCACCATCATCATTCTCTTCCACGTCAAGAGAGAGTTGCTTTGACTTGTGACTTGTTAGTTCAAGGTTCATCTTCCTCTACTTTAGTGCAGAACTTATCAAAATCCTCTTTAGAAAGCACATTCTCCTTCAACAGAGCATTCTATATCTGAACTAGTGCGAAGTTTGTCAGTATAATGACAAGCAGATTTCAGATTCAGCTCTGATCGGAATTGCTCAAGAACTAGTTCTCTCGTCATAAGAAATCAGGCTTGCTTGAATGAAAATCAGGCTCAACAACTAGGTTTAGCTTTCAAAACCAGATTTGCTTTGAGAAATAAACCAAGTTTGCTATGATCAGAAGCCAGATTTTCTATGATGAAAACTAGGTCTGCTGAAATCAGAAATGAGTGGTTTGTGAAAATGAAAGCATGGTTGATGGTTCAGATCTGATCGATAATCCATTGCTATGTAGAAAAGAAGTCTAGGTTTCACCTCTGATACCAAAACAGTGTAGGATAGTGTTGGACAATCTGAGAATGGGCTTGGCTTGCTTGAGAAGGTGGTGGGATAGATTATGTCCAAAGAAGATACCTAAAACAGAAAGGAGGAAAGTAGTTGTTTGAGAATGAGAAACTAGAAGTGAAAAAGAGGATAAAAGGAAGATATACCTAGGGATCTTGTAGGATTTTGACACTGGCAACTCCAGTTGATGGTTAAACTAACCAATACATGTTCGTTCAACGACATATAAAACATCACACGGAATGAGAGTTGCATCCAGATGTATGGCCAAACTTAGGAGGTTACTTAGGGACAAAGTACTTGCGGTTGGATGAAATGACCTACTTGTGACAAGGAGGTAATAAGCAGGTGACCACGCTGCTAACAAGCAACAAGCTGTTGACAGCCAGCAGCCTAGTAGGCATCGAGAGGTTACTGCAGGATGAAGTAACCTACTAAGAAAAGAGGTTAATTCATGACTAATTAAACATGAAAATCTGAAATTAAAACACGACTTCTAAAGTCATATCCTAGTCAAAATATTGGAACAAACATCCCTTAACATAAGAAAATGAAGTTTTCCTTTGATTGCTAGTTATTAACTAAGTAAAGACTAACTACATCAGTCCCTTGATATTCCTACAAAGGCCCATTAAGAGAAGAAAATGAAGCTCTACTTTGTTGCTATTTCTTAGCTAATATTAAATGCATCAGTCCCTTCTTGTCTGCATTTAGAAATACTAAATTATCCTCAGACTGAGATCTGCACAAGCAAATTGCTGTAGTACCTTGTTTCAAGTGTTTCGATTACTTTTTTAGGTGACCTGGGTCAGCAAATTGGTCCAGACTGCACGGATGTGTCTCTCAGTATTTTTATCTGAGAAAAGTGGACACCATCTACTGGCCTGACCATAAGAATATTCGCTCAACAACGGGGGAAATTAGTGTACCATCTACCAATCTGAATTTGCGTAGAACATTAATTTTCAATGAAGAGTAGTTTCAGTTCTTTTGGGTGCAGTTGATTGTACTCGTTAAGTTTTAAGCTTGGGCTTTTACATTAAAATGGGCCTTTTTTTCTGTGAGAAATGCAGAGAAAACAAGAAATGCCCATCTGTTGCTCTGATGTTTCAAGTTGGTGAGAATGCTTCCTATCACAATGTAAGTATTATTATTATCATTATTATTGTTATTATTATTATTATCATTATCATTATTATTATTATTATTGTTATTTAATTTTGTGACCGGCCGAAGCTTGTACGGGATCATGTATCGTATGCCTCCCTTTTTGCTCTCTCCTTTCTTTCCCCCATTTATTTGGTTTGGTTTGGGAAAATCTGACAATGGTGTTCTTGCACAAGATGGGTGGGTGTAAAGAATCGACAGATACATGCACCAACAAAACTTGCCGTGGCTATGAAGTTGACATTATGCACTTCTCCATTGGAAATGCTATTCCAGGTCGGCTGTATGGAAATAATCTGATAGACAACGTAGATGGGAATGGCGGTGATAGGTAACTGTAGTTTAGAGCTTTTCTTGTTAAACTCTGTCACAGAGTGTCTTTTGACAGCACTAATCAGTGGTTCTTTGTGTGTATTTATTTTTCTTCTAACAGGATTGGTCATTTGGTTGATTTATACGCTTGGAATCCACATTGTCGAAATCTTGATGGGATTGGTCCTTCAGGTATCATTTGAATTTAAATTTCATTCAGCCCTTGATGATCAAACTCTGCTATATTCTGTTAATTGTGCAAAATCCACATGCATGTTTGTTAGTTGGCCTTGTTTGTCTACATGTGAAAGGATTTATAAGCGTGGTCAAGAAAACAACCATGCGTGTCAGAAGGCTCAATACCATTTACAGTTCGCAATATCAATTGGAGGCAAAAGGTCATACTTAACAGCCACATGCTACCGTTGTGTAATGAGTGTCATGGCCCACAAAATGTCATGATAGCCCTTATGCCTGTAGCTGCATACATTTAGGATGTGGATTTTGAAGTACACTACTTGGTCTGATTTCAACCTCTTTCTAAATCTTTTAGATCACATGTCTAAGGTTGATAAACTAAGTGGACCAAGTGTTGATCCCAAATCTTAAACCACAAGTTCCATTGGAACATGTCTTGGATAGATTTAAGGTAGGGACTTTATTTTGCTTTGTTCTTTCTTTGCTTAATGGCATCCTTCATTTTTGTAGCTAACTACACCCTCAACATTTGAAATAGTCTGTAGTGTTAGTTTTTAATTCTCAGTTTATCATATTGTTTTTTTATGGATTTCATTTTTGTCAGGCACTGATCCTGGCATTGCGGTCCCAGTGGCAGGACAAAAGCTGTATGCCCTTGGACCTGCCAGTCTCAAGGGCATGCCAACATCGATTCCATGAATAAATCTCAATACATAATACTTAAAATCAAAGCAAATTAGGTTGTGACAGTAAACAGAGCATGCTAATAATTCCAAATAGAATTCCATTATATCACAGACCTCTAATCCATGCATACTAGACTAATCCAAATTTATAACTTCTTACAGTCTCTAAATATAAAGCAATTTAGATATCTCCAACCCTGCCTTCAAACTTCCTCCATGAATCCCACTGCCTCTATTCTACAATATCTGAAAAATGTTAGGATTGGGTGAGCTAGACAGCCCTGTAATACTAGTCTATATCTACCAATTCGACTAGGCATCTATATCAACACATTAGTTCAAAACCTTCAAAAACAATTCATAAAGTCTCATAAATATCTCACAGTTCAATAGTATCAAATATCGTACAATTTGAAACCATATCATTACTCAACATTCTTTAATGGCTACAGTCACATTCACCTGTGACAAGGCTCATAGTGCTCTATGTATCTCCCCTAGGGTCCATACATCGCATTAACTCGTGTCAGATCAGGTCCCAAGTCAAAAGATCCTTGCCAATGTATCTCTCTCATTGGCTACTGCGTCCAACAATCAAATTAACCTGTGTGGCATCGGGTTGGATCATAATCAAGTCATATCATGTCATGACATCCCTATACACAAAGTCACCCTTGGGGTGGCTACAATCATAACCAGAATGAGAGTCAAATCAAAACATTCTTTCACAATACACTTTCAAAATCCGTTCGTTAATCAAATGACATGCCATCAGAAATAGAAGTTAAAGTTTATTTTAAAAGTTTTATAACATTACATTCATTAATTCACATGCCAAGTTCAAAAATACATAGTGGGAGTGTGCGACAATGTCAAACCAATTCACATTTTCAATCGTAACATTTGCAATGTACATTTAAACATGTAAACATATTTAACATTGGTAGGAAAAAAACAGTGGAAGATGTAGAAGATTACTTATCCAAAGCCCTCCAAAATAGCAACAAATCACCCTCGAAATTTCTATCGATATTTTCTCAAACCATGCTAGAATGAATTAACTTAGGCTTTTAAAAGAGTACACTTCTGTGCTACACGCTAGCTCACATAAAATGGCTACCACACTCATAGTTCACTTGGGTAATCACATGCTAAATGTACTCACCCAACACACACAATCATTAACAGACTACTTTTGCATCCGCACAACAGTACACTACGCTACACTAGGACCTAAAATCAATAACATATGATATCATATTATATATATATATGTATATATACATAAATATAGCATATATATTATACCCAGTTGAAACCACTTCCTAGTCTCGACCAATCTGGTCCAATGATAATGAAACAGAGAACTAAAGTACTTTCTAATTCTTTGGTCATGGAGACCCAATCAAACTATTAGTTCCATTAATCTACTCTCTCTTCCTCAGCACTACACACAATCCCACTGTAGATTGTATACTTACACGTGAAACTTACTATATATAAACCTATATTTAGATCAATCAGATTATATAGTCTCAATTTCCTGCACACATCCACACATTTTCAGACACAATCCCACCGGCAAATGTTTTTACTCAAAAACTAATTGAGGAATATTGGAGACTAATCTTGATGAGTGATTCTTCTTGTCCTTCCTTGTTCTCTCTCTCTCTCTCTCTCTATAATGGTTTTTGATTGATTAGTAATAGTGCACTTATATGACGGTTAGCCACAATTAGTGCCTAAATTATTTGTTTCCTTTTTATTCCCCCTTCCATTTTCTTCTCTAGTCCAACCACTCTTTCTATTTTCTTCTCTAGACTAACCATCGTAAGTGAAGTAACAATATCAAATTTATGATATTATACTATGACCCCCAAATTTCACGATATATAAATTGGTATTTCTAATTTGGGATTTCAAAATTTTGTTATTGGTTATGACAAATCTCAATTTGTTCAAACCAACTTCAAGATTGAAATTCATTCTTCTTTTTGAATTTTTATCTTTACAAGTACCAAAAATCTAAAGCTAAAAATAGGTATTTCCATTCCAACCAATAGTGACGGAAAATCGGTATAAAGATGTCTTACACAACAGCATCCTTCAAGATTGAATAAAATGTATTGAGAGCCATTGAAATTACTAAATTGGAATTTTGGCATTGAAACATAAAGATTCTAATAGTTTGAGGGAGTTGTTACATGTGTCTTGATCGCCTAACTGTAATGGCGATGACAACCTTCATGGTGGCTGCCGCCATGGTGTTAAAATGTTTTTATTTAACAGAATATTTCATCACCAACAAACCAACATAAACTCAAAAATAGGACGCCAACAAAAGAACAAATTTGTGGTGTTCATATCATCGAAAGGGCGTTCTAGTGCACAAGACTCCCACCTAGTGGCGGAGCCAAGATTTCTCTGAGAGGGGGGCAATATCTAAATAGGAAATTTTAAAATTCAAGCATGAGAAAAATAAAAAGATTTAAGATTAACTTACTAAATGAAATCTAAAATTGATACCATTCAATCTTAACAATATGAAATAATTTTTGCTTTATATAATTAATTTAGAACATAACTTCGTTTCAAATTCTCAAAATCGTCTATACCTGATTAATTATACATTAAATTTTTTGTCAATTAGTCCTTAATTTCATTACGAAGTCTAGTTGAGGTTATTTTTTTTTTGGTGGGGGGGGTGGGGGGAAGGGGATTTGAATCTTTAACCTTAAGAAGATAAAACTTTCACAAGGTAAGGAGTATTATTGGACCAAAGGCCCATTGGTAGTAAAGGTTATCTAGAATTGATTTGTTAGAAGAGCAAAAATGACTTTTGGGTTAGAATATTTTACCATTTGCATCTAATTGTTTTACTTAGTTACGTGCCACTAAATTTTCCAAAATAGTTAAGTCCAACTATAAAATTATTTTTGAAAAATAGGAGCAATGTATTAAATGTTATTATTGTTTTTTGATTAGTATACAAGGCATGAAATTTTGTATCTATTCTACTTAGTTCAGCTTCAAAGATAAAAAATATTTATTTTCTTGGGTTATGGGGCAGTGGGTCACTATTTATTGAAAAGGTCTATACATTATGCAAATATTAAAAGCCGAGGGGGGGGGGGCAATGTATCCGTTTACAAGTGTAATAACATGTTAATATGTGGATATATGTGGCTCATGGATCAAACGTAGAACAACCATTACAAAGTTTGGGACGAGTTAGATGTGGACAGCTTTACCCCCACATTTGGAGGAATTGTTTTCGCGATTCAAACATTGGACGCGTGCCGGTCACAATTGAGCAAATTTAGGGTTTGCCAAGACAGACAAGTCTTCCTTCTATAGAAATGCTTTATAAACTTTTTTCAATTCATATGAAAACAAATCTGTATCTGAACCATGGTTCAAAACATCGGCCAAGTACGATACGACTTGGCCGAGTCGTATATGACTTGGCTACCACCGAATCAATAACTAGTTACACTACGCAAATATCCCGAGTTTCACATGAATCTGTTTCGACTTAGCCATAACTTGGCAATATTGGGACAAATTGGATGCAACTCGCGTAAATCGGATGAGTCGTATCCGAGTTGAACGGATGTCCTCAAAACCAATCGACAGATCTCAGACAATAGAAAAATGCCAAAAAAAAAAAAGAAAAAAGGAAGAAGTAAATTAAACCCTAAATCTTCTANCGTAAATCGGATGAGTCGTATCCGAGTTGAACGGATGTCCTCAAAACCAATCGACAAACCTCAGACAATAGAAAAATGCCAAAAAAAAAAAAGAAAAAAGGAAGAAGTAAATTAAACCCTAAATCACATAACCATATGCAATCTTCTAATTACAATTCCTGACTAGACTTTTGTTTTGCCAATAGAAGAAGAAATTAAACTAATTTGTATAAAAAACCTGTAACATCTAGAAGAATCGTTGCGAGAGCCATGTTCTTCTTTTTCTTCTTCACGAAACTTTTGTGATTCACAAAAGGCCAGGCGTTCGTCCCTTGTGACGTTGCTTTTTCCCCAGTGACTATTCTCTAAGTCTTCTCTCTCTCCTCTTCTCTCTCTCCTCTTCTCTCTCTCTCTCACGAANCAGGCGTTCGTCCCTTGTGACGTTGCTTTTTCCCAAGTGACTATTCTCTAAGTCTTCTCTCTCTCCTCTTCTCTCTCTCTCTCTCTCACGGACGAAGTCGTGTGAGTTCTACCCTCACAGTCACACGAACCTTTACCTTTTTTTTTTCTTTCTAATTTGTGATATTTTTAGTAAGTTTTTATTAATAACTTAATAAATGTCTAGCTCAAATGTTTCTTTAGTATAGTCCTTTTTTGCCCTAAAGGACCTTATATCGGTAATGTATGTCTACTTGTAAGTCTATGACTTAAACATATTAAGTTACTATATTTTATTAAGCTTTATTATTGATATAAAATAGGACATAAATTAATTTTATATTTAACACTAATGATGACACATATTTTTGATAACGCCCTTATAATGTATTTTATCTATGTTTAATATGTTAACAGATGTATTTTGACCATATGATGTATGAATACTATTACTTATATTTTGTAGAATTTTTCATAATTTTTTTGGAGCCTCTATCTAGCATTTTGAGTGTATCGACCCATACCGTGTCGTGACGCCGCAATTGATGTATATCAGTGCCGTCCGAGTTGATAGCTGATATCGCAACTTTGAACCATGTTCTGAACTTATGTTATCTCTACAATAGTTATTACTTGTAGCTTAACATTGTTTAATGTTCATTAGATAAATTAAACATTTCTGTGCTAATGTTTATAAATATATAGTGCTAGTCTACTTTTTGCATTTACTGTACTTAAAGCTAAACTTCGCTTTACTACCTTGTGGGTTAGGCCCCTCGGCATATTACATTCAAAAAAAGAAGCAACATAGCCCTCGTGTGGATTGTGGGTTAAAACCCCCATCAGCTTCAGAAAAGGCAACATAACCCTCGTGTGTGGACTAAAATGCACTGTTTCCAGTTTAACTGCAAGTGCATGAGTCAAGCAAGCAAGACTGAAGATGAAAAAAGTAGTTTAAAAACAGAAAATTATTCTTATAATTATCATAAAATACACAAAACCTTTATCTTCTTTTTATTCTTTCCCCTCTCTTCTCACTACCTATCGACCGATCAATCGCTTCTTCCTATGTTTATAATTCCTAGTTTTGTTGTATGTAAACTACGTGTATGTGTATGTTGTTATTTTTAAAGGGGAGGGAGGAGTTGTACAAAGAGACCTAATCACGCCCCCCCCCTTCTTTTTTCTGGGGAGGGGGTTGTGAAATTTTCCTTGACTTGACTATAACTGGTTACTATTTCTTCAACAGCATTTTTAGCACATGGTTATCTTCCTTCACTTGCAGGTAATGATTCTAGCGGACAGAATGACTGGAAAGGTGCATGGTGGCATAGTAGTTTCACAACGGATACAGGTAACCACTCCTCACTTATTCTTCAATGCGACGTGTAAATTTTTTTTTTTTTTGGGGATGGGGGGAAGGGGGAGAGGAGACTTGAACCTTTGATCTCAAGAAGACAAAGCCTTCACAAGGTAAGGAGTACCATTGAACCGAAGGTCCATTAGTCAACGTGTAAATTAGGTTTCACATAAAGGCTGCTTTCTCTTAGCTTTTGATTGCGTTCTTACTAGAAAGAGGCTGCCTTCACATGTCTCATTATACTTCAAATGATTAGGTCACTAAGTTAGGTTGTATCTTCTTAACCAGCATACTTCATAATTTAATAGCATCGGTTCCCTTTTGCAGTTTATGTTATTCTTTTCAGACCAACATTAAAAGGATGAATGTTTATCTGCAACTGTTTTGACTGACAGGTTTTGTGGAGGAAGACAGTCCTTATACATCATCTGGCTCAAAGGGCACATACTATTTTGAATTTTCTAGGCCTCTAAGAACCATGGATCGCCTTCAACAGGTTCATTCTTCTCTAGTGTTGGGTTTCATGCTTAGATTGCAATGCAACATTGAAACCAGAAAGTCCTATATTATGGGCTGATGTTATAAGTTGGAAATCAAAGCCCCTTTAAAATTTAAGAAATTTACATCTTGTTTTCAAATTTGATCAAGTGAAAAGAATGCATCTCTATTGCAATGAAATTTGAAAAATACAAGGATTGCATACAAAAGGAATTGTCACTGAAACAGTTAATAAAAAAATTGCATTTGTTAAAATGGTGACTGCCCATTCTGAAAGATATGTCAAGTATTTTCAACTATCCTCAACTTTTATGTGATTTCTAAGTAGTTCCTATTATTTGATGCATCACCAGCCCCACCAAAACATGCTATTGAAGTTTTTTTGCAAACATTGAGCTCAGAAAATCTATAGTTTCTTGAACTTGCATGCATTGATTGAAAATTTTCCTTCCCTAAATGTAGGATACGCAATATACCATCGGTAAATCTAGCAAATTTTCAGCTGCACTTTGGTATCCAGTTGATGGCAATCCTTGGCATGGATCAGGACACTATTCTGTCAGTTGTGACTGGGTACCTTTTGACATCTCCTTGGGCTCTTTTGTGCTACCCAAATTGTCTTCAAGAAGCTCTTGGGATGCTGCGAGTGCCTTTGCTCTCATCTTCTCTGTTTTATCAGTCTGCATTTCTGTTTTTATTGGTTACTGGGTTTCTAAAAGCAAACCTGTACCCTTTACACCCATTGATAATCTTTAAGTTGATTTCTTTTTCTTATATCTTCTTTTGTTTGGAATAGGGAGGTCATAACAATAGTATTTGCGACACTAGTTGGATCATATTCCTTTGAGACGAGGAATGTTTTTTTTTTTTTCAGCAAGTAAGACAAGGAATGTTACTTCTGTTCTTTCATTTCATTTAGATATTGATATGAAAAGGGTGAAATATCACACATATAGTCTTTAAGCATCCGTTGGGACCTCTGTTGAGCTGTGGTTGTTGGACTTAGGATCTTTGTTGGACATGCAACAACACACCAACTTTGTAGTCACGGCCTCACCCGGAGGTCTGGGCAAACCACTGGCCGTTGCACCAGATCTGCATCTCCATTAATGGAAGTGTCGCCTTCCTATGTTCTACTGGGACCACCAGTGAGGACCTCGGAGCTAATCAGGGTTGCACCTGTATCCTGGGCTTCTGTAGTAGGCTATTCCCTCGTTTCCTGTCAACGTGTGCTGCCACCAGCTTCTTTAACTTGCCAGCCTGACTAGAATGAACTGACTCAGTATGAGTATTTCCTATGCTATTTGGATTACGTGGATCCATGTTGATGGTGAAGAGATGAGTGAGGAGAGATTGACAGCATGGTGGGATTTTTTTCTCCGCCCACGTTTTTGTTGAGAATAAATAATTTGATACCGTGTTTGTATGTTTGGTAATGTTTTTTCAATATAACTTTTTTTAAGGAAGAAACCAATTTTTTCAATCAAATAAGATTGCATTTAATTTCTATTTTTCATAAATACATTTTAGTACATAAATAATACAAATACACACACACTACCATACATCTGAAAAAGGTTCCAGAAAGGCAATATGTTATGATAGTAGAACAAGTTTCAAAAAATGCAAATAGGCCAAATAAGTGTTACTTTAAAAAAAAACTACCTAAAAATGCGAAAAAAAAAAAATACTGGAATTGGGCTCCTCTCATACTAACAGGCTGATTTTAAGATTGGGTGCATTAACAAATCTCGACGCCACTATGGCGGTCAAGGTGGAGCTGTATTCTCAAAAATCCTTTTCTACACCTTAATAGTCCTAAAAGCTTGCCACATATTTGATTTGAGAGTGCTCTCAGTGTGCAGTACCATGACCTCTCAAAGGGTGAAGCCTGCTTAAGCAACTGATGAAAACAAAACATCCAAATGGTTTAAACATTTGAAGCATGCCACATAATCTGACCAAACTTTTCAAAAAAAGTTAAGACGATTAGAAGGAAATCACTTTAGAGAGCTGAGCTCAATCAACAAATCCTCAGCTCTATAACTTCTTCCTAGGAAGGAAGTAAATGATACCTTATATATAGCGGAAGATTAACTCCAAAGAAAATTTCTTTGCTCATTGAGTGCAATGCACGCCAATGTAGAAATCTTCCATCTTCAACACGGCCAGTCAGAGAAATCAACAATGTATCGTCAGTTAAACTACTCAACTCAGGGAAATGGAGGAAGTTATTGAAGCCCGTGGACATTGCCAGACCTCTTATTAAACATCTAATAGGAGATGGGAAGTCTACATACCTATGGCAGGACAATTGGCATCCTCAAGAACCACTCATTCTAAAATGTCATCCAAAATAGTGGAAAACCTCAGGCTTCCTGCTGATGCTGAGGTGGAAGAGGTGGTCAAGGGCCACAGATTGGCTGGCCTAATGTAAATACAAATGATCTGAGGGAGATTCAAAGCTCACTGCCTTCCAATCACCCTAACCCATTGCAACCTGGCAGAGTTACATGGATATCTACCACAGACAGAATCTACTCCGCACAAACTACTTGGAGATATATTCATGGAGATGGCTGGAAGGTGCTCTGGCATAGACTCGTTTGGTATCCTCAACAGGTTTGTAGAATGAGTTTTATCTTATGGCTTGCTGTCCGTGAGAAGTTAAACTACCAAAAATCCCTTGAAGAACTTTATGCAGCAAATTGGAACAATCTGTGTGTTTTGTAGAAGGTAAGAGGAAAACCATAAGCTCCTCTTCTTTGATTGTCCTTTCACAAGTAGAATTTGGTCCAAGGTTCTGCACAAATCTGGAATGAACTGGTTCTCTAACCCATGGCATTTGAAGTATTCCACTCAGCTAATTCTTGGAGAGGTAATTCTCTTAAGGTGGTACTATTGAAGTTGGTTTTGCGGCAACTGTGTATGATCTTTGGAGGGAGAGGAAGGAAAGAGTATTTTGTAATGCCTATAAGGATACAAACTCTATCTATATGGATATCATCAATGAGGTGAAAACTAGATTGATTACTATCAAATGCCGGAGGTCCCTTTGAATAATCTGGTTCTTCGAGAAGGGCATCTACACTCGCTCAGCACTTGGCGGCAGTGTGAAGCTATGTACTAGAATATACTTTTGATAGAGACTAAACTGTTGGAGTCCTGTTAAAGAATTGAACTCCTCCCAGTTAGGGTCTCACTATCTTTTGTTCGCATTCTCTTTTCAGATGACAAGGTTGTAATACCATAGCTATTGTGAATCTGACACATGATGAATACATTTACTTAACCCCCCAAAAAAAAACCCACCTCAACTCAACTCAAAGCTGACCTTGCCTCCANTTGTAATACCATAGCTATTGTGAATCTGACACATGATGAATACATTTACTTAACCCTCCAAAAAAAAACCCACCTCAACTCAACTCAAAGCTGACCTTGCCTCAAACATAGCAATGTGTATGGTTGGACTTCATAATTTGTCAACTCCTGCTTGTGATGAGACTACAAATTTTACGACAGTAGTTTTCAGAACAACATATTCCTCATCCTGTTCCATACTCAAATTGGACCAACATGCTTTCTACAAATCCACTCCCCAATGTCCAGGCTTACGACATTGTTAATCTTTTTTCATGTAGACATCTCAAGTTCCACTTTACCAGAAGCAATGTTGATGCCAAGCAGAGAATCATAGACACTGGGATCTAGAAGACCAAACTTTTTCATGCTTTTGCAGAATTTCTCAACTATGTCGAAATCATATTGCTCTTCGAAGTTTTTTAGAAACATTTTTGGAGTTCCATCTGTTGGAAACCTTTTATGTTTCTCTGGATTTGCTTTAGATGCTCTCATCTCCAAATACTTTAGAACCAAATCTGTCTTGTGCTTCTTGATGTAGAAGTTTATGAATAACTCTAGTGTCCTTAAAATTGGGTTCAGCCCCACTTTTCACCATACTTTCGTAAACCAAATCAGCTTCCATCAAGTCTCTTTTAAGGTAGGATTCTAACGTCACAATTGATACCTTGACATCGTACATCAAACAACATGATTCCCACACTCTAGAATACTTCTCAAGACTTTCCAAATCCCCCAACTTGTACAGAGCCAAAAGCATAACGAGAAAGCTAATATTTTTTGGTCTTGGAAAGGTTGACTTCAAAGACTCCCACATTCAATTAACCCCTGGCAAATTAGAGGTTTGTGCATACAAAGTTATTAGTGTGTCACAAGCCTCAAGATGACTCAGATTTTCCAATTTTTTCCATGTCTCGCATAGCAACAATGACATTATCGACGAACCCTGCATTGACTTAAATGATTGCTAGGTTTCCATAAGTAAACCAATTTCATTTTACCTTTTCTGCTTTCATATTCTCCAAAACTCCTTACACTGCATCGAAATGTTTCAGAGAATCATGGTCGTTCATCAATAGATTGTAACTATATAAATCTGTAGTAATGGTCTTTTCCTCCATTTCCTTTGCCAGTAAAGGGACTTTTTCTGGTTGACCAACAAGTAAAGAGACATCATATTTGGCGGGACTCTAGGCGGCTCAGTAGCCCTCAGATCGACAGTGTAAAATTATAGGCGTTATGGAGTCCAAAGGACACCAAGGAATAGAGTCGAGAGATGACGGCCGGAGGAGCCGATTACACAAGCTGACACGCATTTAATGTGATTTTACCACTCATTTATGGCAATGTAAGTGACGGAAACTGCCATTAATGAGCTCAAAGGACGCCGAGGAGTGGAGCTGAAAGATGACAGCTCGGATGAGCCGATTACACAAGTTGGCACGCATTTAATGTGATTTTACCACTCATTTATGGCAATGTGAGTGACGGAGACTGCCATTAATGAGCCCCTGCACCCTCAAAAGCCTACGCCTGCAGTCATGATGGCTAGACATTAATGGCTGAGGTGCCGAGAATATCTCCTCGGTGCGCCCCGAGGTATTATTTCCCGAGCATTTAACGCTTAGTAGTAAGTTTCAGGCGCCGATTAAAGACACTTGAGTGCTCGGGAAAAGCCATAGATACTCGGTGCATCCCCGAACACTTGTCCTATCATCCTACTATTAAATATATGAAGATTTGTGTGGTGAACATTCAGATCTTCGTGGGTAAGAGTGTCAAGCATTGAATGTTCAAATGGGACTTGACGCCTTAACACTCATTACTAATCCAGGTATAAATACTCCTCAGAAAAGTGAACAAAGATACGCAACATTAAACCACGACGCATGATACATTGTACTCAAGCCTTCAATCTGATACTGACTTAAGCTTCGGAGAGGATAAATCGAGTGTTCACCCGACCCCTTTTTTTGACCCTATGATTGTTGCAGGTTCACCAGACTGAAGGTCGCTATCTCAAACTGTTGCAGGAATTCTCTTATGCAATTTGGCGCCGTCTATGGGAAATTACACGAAAATTTCCCCGTAGCGATCGTATTATAGTGAACACATGATCTCAATGTAAAAGGGGAGGAAGTTTGCGCATGAAGAACGCAGAGGCTGTCCGGCTCCCAATAGTTACGAAATTAGGCCCCTTGAGCCAATCAGGTCGAGGGGAGTACTCCTCGCAACGAACGTTCCCTGTGGATTAAGCTCTTGGGGAGCAAGGCCTTTTGGCTCGTGATATCATTGACCTGGTTGAGAAGAGAATGGGCAAGCTCACCAAGCAACTCGAGAAGGAAAATGCTAAGGTTCGACAACGACTTGACGATTTCGAGCAGTCAAGGAATGCAAGTTGGCAAAACTATGAGCGAGAGAACCAGAGTCTCACTCGAGGCCACTCCAGGGGTGCAAGGCAAGATTCCCCCCAAAAGGGCTTACGCGGGCGCACGCCCGAGAGTCATAACCATCAAAGTTGGAGGTTAGCCCCTAAGGAGATGTCANTCGACGACGACTTGACGATTTCGAGCAGTCAAGGAATGCAAGTTGGCAAAACTATGAGCGGGAGAACCAGAGTCTCACTCGAGGCCACTCCAGGGGTGCAAGGCAAGATTCCCTCCAAAAGGGCTTACGCGAGCGCACGCCCGAGAGTCATAACCATCAAAGTTGGAGGTTAGCCCCTAAGGAGATGTTAGAGTGGGATCACAAGGCAGGCCTGTCCTAGTGGGACCACCGCCATGGGATACCAAGAGACACCGTGGCAATTGAGTCCTAGGCGGAGTCCACGGCAAGGGGGCCAAGAGACGGGAAGCCCCGAGGGAATCCACAGGTGTACCCCCATGACATAGGCTGCAGACTCGAG